CATCATTCAAAATTTATCGTCACAATCGATCAAGGTATAAGAAAAGGGAACTTGTTGAAATACTTTATGCTGAGAATTCTATGTTGTACCAAAAATATAATGTTGAATAAAGCTTCTAATAATAATAATAATAATAATAATAATAATAATAATAATAATAATGCTTTTATTCATTACATATCTTTTATTGTGATTAGGTTGGAATATATTTCAAAATTTGTGGATTTAGTCATGTCTAACTTTCAAAATAATTATATTTCTTTGATAGTATTATTTGAGGTATTCGATTTCAGGAAGTATATCTGAAAAGTATACTAAATGGTATTCATACATCGGTTGGTAGATTATTTAAAGTCTAGATGATTTTTTTTTTGACCAAGTGTTATATGGATAGCATACTATATTAAATCATACGATACTGCTTTCGATTCCTGAGGATCCCATAAGTAATATCGGATTGATAAGTTATCAATCTATTTCATAATAAAAGATATCTTTAAACTGAACTAACGTAGCAATACCATATAGTTAGACTGATTAACTATTAAATATCTCAACGTGATACTTTACTAAGTGAAAGTGTCTGTATATTAATAGCATGAAGGATTTTGAAAGGATATGAAGATTGGCGCTGACTGGACGGTCACAACACATTAAGGAGAATTAAACAACTGTTTTGGTTATTACTTAGAAGTAATCTATGAGTATCTTTAAGTTACGGGCAGGTGTATGATTTACATATTCTGTTACAATTAATACCATAAAAATGCTATATTGAACCTTAAAATACTAGCGTAATGCAATAAAATAAATTCACCTTGTAGTAAAACATTTGCTTTGATAAAAATAGAACTTTTAATAATGAAAGTATTGATTACGTGTCTACAAAACATAAAGTTAGTAACACACCTTAGAATCACTAACCAAACAAGTTTATTCACAAATAAACAACTGTGTAATGATGGATAGTGGCTAGCAGTGGAATACAGGACGCGCGCTTCGTCCTGTTTGGGACTCGTCAGCTGGATGTACCTGCATCATCATAACACTATCCATCTTTGCTTATAATGCTTGTAAATTAAGGCAATATCAAGGCATACGCACAGTATGCACATATGCCAATAAGAGACTGATCAACTTCAGTCCTAAAACATCAATGGGAAGATTCAAGTAAAAACAATATCAAGTGAATTAAACTGTGTAGTGAGATGGCTTTCTCAATTGAAATGATTTCTATTGTCAGAAGAAATGTATTGCACAATAATTGGTGTTTGATTACAAGTCATTATTATATTACTGATTCCTAATAAATAACGAAATCTACCTATAAACTTAATCAAATTTATGTATAGATATATACTCATGCATATAAAAATTTTTCCAGATAGTTGTACTAGTTTTAAAAGATAGCAATGTATCTTGCTGACCCCGACATTTACGGAATGAATATGATTAACATGTCTTGTCATGTCTTAAATATACGTGTGAAAAAGTGACTGTTTCGATCAATTCATTCTTCTACAAAGGTAACCATTTTACGATTTCACATTTTTACCTCAAGGTATTGTTGAATTCATCAATAAAGATTATGAATTAAATCCTCAACTTGAAATATATTAGCGAGGCATCTGTAGAAAGTTTGTAGATAAATTTCAACATATTTAGTAACAAACTTTATTTGTCAGTGTCTCGAAAGATTAACAGTACTACTGTAAAAATAATAATATAAACTTAATTGATGAAACACTACACCGATGAATAAATAGATGATTCTTAGAAAAATGTTCACCAATTAGTCTTAGGAATGTTTCTTTTTTTCCATGTTTTTGTAATGATGCAAAATTGTCCAAACTTTAGACACAGAAGCAAAAAAACCAAGTCAATATTTTCTTTATTGATTTAAATTAGGAACGTGATTTTATTATTGTAATAATCTGTAAAACAGGACTGTTTTGCTTGGTGGTATAAATATTCTTTGAATTCCTGTAAAATTGAAAACCGTTTCGTTGTTTGTTTACATTTACTTAATGTGATTAATGTAACATTTAGAATGTTAGTATATATTTCGTATATCTATCAAAATAATTTGAAACTAGTTGATCACTGATAATCCTATAAATAACCATTGAATTTCGGAACTTAATTAACACTGAAAACAAATGTTTTTTGAAGTTAGACATTAACACCATTGGATGCCGGCTCAGTGGTCTAGTTGGTTAGGCACTTGGCTCGAGACTGATAGATTCTGGGTTCGAATCTCGCGGGGTGCGAGATCGTGGATGCACTAGAACGAAACGGCCGCCCAGTGATTCCAGGTTTTCCATAGTGGTCTGACTTCAATTGACTCATGATTTCAACCTGTGAAATATATATTCTCCTAAAGAATAAATTCAGTAAAGTTGAAATAATGTCTACGATAACATATTGTCAATTATCAACGGAAGTGTTTATTTCGTTAAATGAATTAACGCCTCAATTATTTTGTTTGATTTTATGAATACTCCAGTTAAAAATTCAATCAAACGAATGTATCAATTCACTGATTACACTTTTTCGTAGTTTATATACTCTAATTTGCACAACAGCTGAAATATAATTACACAGATATAGGTGTACGATACTCGATTATACAATGAGTAAATATTACAATTCATTATATGTATGACTAATAAAACAAAGAAGTAGTTTCGTTTGTTTTCTAAATATTTTTTTAAAAAAAAACAGTCTGAATCCTACATCTTCAAAATATTAACTGTTCTCGTTAACTACTATCATACAAGAAATAGTTGACATTTTCACTCATTCGGTTACGTTTTAGACAAAACGGGTTTGTGAACAATGTTAATTTAATGTTATTTATTATACTCATAACTCACATGCATCATGTTCATAGAAACACAATTATACACATTTGGTGTAAATGCATATTTAAATTATCAAGAATATTTAACTAAAGAGAAATGGTGGACATATGTGTATCAAGTAGCAAACTATTATCAAAATTAATCAAATAACTACTTAACACTTTCTAAACTTGAATGCGTTCTTTCATCGAGATCATGAATCGATCAGTGTTAGACTGATACTGATAACCTGAAACCCTGAGCGGCCTTTCATCTTAGTATGGGACTCCTCAGCAGTGCGTATTCATGATCGATCACGCGATTCAAACCCAGGACCCCTGATTGGTTAACGATATTGATGGAAGTCAACAATTTCAAAAACCCTTTGCTGATAATATTTTATTCTTCATTAAAGCAAGCTTTTTGGAGAATTAGTATAAACATTTTGTACTATTTCAGTTGTAATACTGAGCTATTTTATATAACAAACAAAATATAGACTGATAAAAAACAGTAAAGACTATTTAGAACCCTTATTTGATTTATCTTATCCACAATTATTACCTAATGTTGATATAATAAACAACGTGTCAGCAAACATCTTATGGGTTCCACAAATTATCACTGGTATCGAGAGAACGTGAGTGTCAGGATATTAGTTTTGACTAATGCATGTTCTAAATTAATAAAAAGGATAGAAAAAACATACATATTACTTCCTGAAAAACAATTTGTAGGAAATGTCCTTCTACTTTGGAGTTAAAAGTAGGTTGTTTAATAAAACTGATTCTATCAAGGTAGAAAGTAAAACTTTTATATCTATATGACTAGTTCGAAAGTTTATTACTAGGCAAACAAAATGATGACGTTCCAATAAATTTTCATTTTAGACATAAGTGATATCGCTTACTCAATAATTAGCGTTTAGACTAAAGTCTTTGGCCATGTTACATAGGGTTGGCGTTATTTATTCAATCGTAAATTCACAATATTTATAAGTATGTAACTGTTAGATATTTTAACTTCAAATGGATAAATTATGCCATATAAAGCTTGATGTTCTTTCATGAAAATAGTCTGAAAATGAACTAGCTTCGGAAATGTTAATAAATTCTTGACGAAGATGGGATGATATTGATGACCTTGTTAAATCTAAAGGCGCGACAACGATCACTATCATTTTTTTCAAAAGTAAAACTTCAGAATACTTTCTTTTTATAAAAGATATATGTTTCTAGAATTATTGGTAGGTCAGAAGTATTTGATCTGCACTAAGAAGGATCTGAAATACATGGCATTGATTACCACCCAGTGATAAATCAATTGTAAATGCATTTCAGTTCTACAGGAGGTCATTTGCGGCCCGGAAAGTTCAGTGGTAATGTTTCTGACTGTGAAGCTGGGTGACACGGGATCGAATCCGTCAGGAAGCATCAATTCCTTCAACATTACAAGTACACCTTACTGACAAGTGCCAAGTGGCACGAAACCTAGGTCCAGGGTATTCTGTTTACTACCTCCAACCAACATCTTATCTCAACATAGTGCATGTAATGTCGATTCACCTAGACTGGTGGCCACATTGCAACTTGGTCTGTAAGATTCGATCTGTACTAACAAGCACCTGACATACATGACATTGATCATCACCCAGTGATCGATCAATGATAAACAATCAGTACCTTTCAACAACTGTTATTATGTTTTATGAAACAGAGCTTATGGAAAACAATAGTATGAAGAAGTTGATTATAATACCTTAACATCATATTGGCAAAAATAAATTGATAAGAATTCTAAAACTCATACACAAATTTAGGTCACTTTAATCCTTCCCGAAAATTAATTTCCGTATGATTCTTCTTTTTTTTTTTCTGTTTCTTATCAAAATGATAATTTATTATAATTTTATCCACATTTATCATTTCAATATAAATAATCTTATTAATCATTTTATTAAAACATTCAAAATAGTCACTTATTCATATGGAAACATAAATAATTAATATAAACAAAAATTAACATGAATTCTTATTTTGTTTTCTTCTTCTTTTCAATGTTTTCCTTTTCATAAAAGTAACAAAAATAATGAAAAGACACACATACACACACACACAAAAGAAAAAAAACAAAAAAAATACAATACAATACAATAAATTATACAGATATATTAATAACACTTCCTAAATTAACTATATCAGTAGAAAAGATTTCAGTGGATTTATTAACTTTCACTGGAACTAAACATGTTAAATTATTATCAATAGGATATGGACAAGTATAAAACTGTACATTATAATTATTATTTGTTAATGATGTTTGTGTTGTTGGTATAGTTAATATTGGTACTTCATTATTTGTAATTAATTGAATAGTAGATGATGATTTATCTAAAATACATTTATTATTTAATGTATATGTATCTTGTACCATGTTAACAATATCAGAATTTCGTTTAGAATTATTAATAAAATCTTCTTTATTATATTGTTCATTTAAATTTGATTGAGTTATAAGTGTATTTGTTTGAATAGATTGATTTTGATGATTATCAAATGATTTTCTAGTTAATGATGTTTCTAACATTTCTATTGGTGTTATAGATATTTCATTTGTATCATTAGTTCTATCATTTGATTTATTTATTATATGTGATAAACAACATATTCTACATTGAGTTGATTTCTTTGGATGCCATAATGCACAAATCACAGCCTGTATTCCAATTAATGTAAGAAAACCAAGTGAACCTGGAATGAGAAGAAATCTATAACGTGTCCATGCTGATAATGTTTCAGTTCTGTGGGGATTTAATTTATATGTATCTGAGGTAATAGTATTAGGAGAATTATCTTTATCATTAACAAAATTATTTAATTTTTGTGTTGATGTTGATAACACTGTTTAAGATGAAAAAATAAAGAAATCTATAATTAAATAAGTGAGATGAATAAATTCGAAAAATATATTTAATAATATGACTATTTGTCAGATAGCAGATAAGGAATTCAACTAAAGACCCCAAATGCCCTGGTATGGCCGAGAGTGGGGAGAGTCCGCTCTCCCTCTCGAGATGCTCTCACATAGTCACGCGTATATAGCCTCTGCCGAGGAAGTCATACTCACTGCCTTCTCGTGGCGAGGGTGTTGTTTACGAAAATGAGAGGACGAAAAGCGAATGTCTGGCGCTTTAACTGGATTTCAAACTAATGGTGTACATGGGCTTTAGTATTCTGAGGGAAAAAATAGCGCATGAACCAATTTTCGGTCACCGGCTACTATGGGACTGCATCTCCGTACGATACTCCACTGTCTCGTGGATCAGACCTTCAGGTCGAAGGCTCGGGGTGTGGCCCTCTAAGAAAACCACCTGCTTCGGTTTGAGCACCCGGGCAGTATCACAGCCCTCACACAAATCAAATGAGATTTGTTTGGAGCATATGTATTTGGTGCCTCCTTGTACCAATATCTATGTGTTAAAATAAATAAATAAATTCAACTAAAGATGAACAAATGAACTCTAGTCCTTCAAATTTATGAAAACAAAATATGTATTTCAAACATAACTGTCGTAACGTGTGGACTGCAGGTTTGACAAGCAGCGTTTATATCGATCGGTTCAGTGACACGTAAACACGTAATGGATGACCTAGAGTTTCGATTGGCCCTGCTTCCCTGTCTATCCCAGTCAGTTGAGCCCAGAACGAAATTCACAGCCTCTGAGACATACTCTATTTATATACTAACCAAACATACCACATCGTACCATAAAAATAGAACACAACATTTTGTACAATGTTCAACAAGTGAACAAATATCGACCTATAGGAAATGTCCATTTAAAGTCCAAGGACACCATTGGACTTAACATGATAATTATTGGTCTATCCTTCCGCATCCACAACAATAACAATCATTCGTAACACTTTGAGGGGTCAAAATCGTTAATGAAAAAATTGAATTGTTAATTTTAATCGGAAATTAATGTCTATAGAATAAAAGCTTCAAGACGTTTTCGAAACAAGCGATTCACGGATCAATATTAGAAAAAATGCTTGACAGCATCATGAGTATTAAAGAATTACTTAATAGAATGTAAATATTCCGGAAGATTAATTATCAAGCAGCTGGATGTATTTAAATTTATTTAAAATTTTTTCCTCAATCGACATGGTTGATTCATGCCTTTCAAACTTCATCTCAGAACGATCAAAAATTTGATCAAGGCAGGTCGCGGTATGCGAAAGGCGTACATTCTTTCCAAAACAAACTGAATTGTTATGATGAGAATATCAGATTTGGATACGTATGTGATTATATGTGCAGTAGCAAATTGTTGTTAAGTATTGAATAATTTGACGCTATTTTACGCACCTTTAGTCAGAAAGATTTTTAAACATTTCAATTTAGAAACGGTGAATTTTTGTCACCTATACTGGTTAACTCAAAAAAACTAAATTAATGCTCAGACATACAAAAGAATTAAAACGCTTATTTAAATACTCTAAGGTATCTCAATCATCCAAAGAATACTGTAAATTATTTAGTAGCCTTTTATGATAATGAGTCCGTATGAAAGTTCACATGCTTTTCATTGTTTAATTGGAGTGCTCGTTTCACTTGAATGCTTTAGAAATAAGTGTTTGAACACGAAATACATTAAGTATCAACTAGTTATACAGTAACCTGTATCTTTAATAAGACGATTAACAATCCATGAGCTCACAATAACTATTTCATATTAATAGAAATCCCTTAAAAAATGTTAGCAGAAGAATAATTAAGTGCAAAGCTGAGTGTTTAGATTGATATTTCCTTGAAGTTAGATAAGTGATAATACATATTAAAGCATAAATATTTTGCCGTTTGATTTTACAGGTCATATACAATGAGAAGGGAAGCACATTAGCTACTGAATAAATCATAAAGGCTTTCTTAAAAATCAATTCTTATAAACAATTTTGCATTCAGCATTTGAATAAACAAGGAAATAAATAATAAATACTACATTCTCGCATGTCCATAATAATGTTTGTCTTGGAAATTAATTTTCTCTCAGAATCGAGTAATCTCACGTAGCATCAATGACTGCAGAGTAAACATAATAGAAGATCAGAATATTTCTTTGTGTAGTAAAATTATACGGAACCATTAATCACCTTAAAGATGCAAGAAACAGGGCGATATGCAGTGGAGAGAGTAAACTGTGATTGGTCATTGATCATGGACATATAATCACTTAGTCCAATGGCTATTGGATGTGTGGTTTCCTTTCTAAACATGTATTTCACTTAGTGATTGATTGTAATTGTGTTGAATGAAGTATTGCGTAACATTCACCTTCCTGATCGTGAATCATGTATCTAATATAACGTGATCTGATCTCTGTGTTGTGTACCATTCAAGTATCCAATATAGCATAATATACCGCAGATAGAGAGATAATATTTAAAACTATCTATTATGTAACAAGGTAGATTGTTTTGAATCGTAAAATTATGACACATCATACAACATGATACTAATAAATTGCATTAAGAATATTTCAAAAAATATAAGAAGTCACTTGTTCATGGATTACAGAAACTTAAGTACACTTTTGTTTACATCAGAATATGTATTATATCACTTTAATTACCTTGATTATTATTTACACTTTTAGCTGGGACTAATTTAACAGCAATACGAAGATTGTAAATCGAGCATAAATCATGCTGACCTGAAACAAGAAAAGCAGATACATAATCAGTAAGATATCACTATTCAACAACATTTTACCTGTATAACAAGATAGCATCTATTAAATTTTCTTGTTATGTAGTTGAATGATATACTTTAATAAATTAAGTGAAGTAGCTTTCAAAGAACCTAATAATTATGGCATAGATATTATTAAATTTGTGAGTACTTTAAATAAAATACATAAATCAGCTACCAAAGCCAGTATTCCGTTTTAATTCAGTTGACTGCTAAACAAGATGGACCGTCATATATTTCAATATTCAATAAAAAAGTATCTGAAATACCTTTTTATATAAATTAATTAAAACAATTTATTCTAGACTACTATGGAAAACCTGAAAGCACTAAACAGCAGTGCGCATCCACGACCTCACCCCCTGCGAGATTCGAACCCAGGTGGTCTAGTCGTCTAGTGGTTAAGTGCTCGCGCGCGAAACCAGTAGGTCCTGGTTTCGAATCTCATAGGAGGCGAGGTCGTGAATGCGCACTGCCAAGGAGTCTCAAAATAGGACGAAACGGCCGTCCAGTGCCTCCAGGTTTTCCATGGTTGTCTGGCTTCAACTAATTCATGATCTTAACTATTGAAACTGCAATTAATTGGAAAAAAAGTATGTAAACAATTGCTAAGTATGGTGACAATCCCCTTCCTATTTTATTCATTTTAATTTTTGCAAAATAATAAAATCTAATTTTTATTTAATTATATATAATATAAAAATATTTATTTATATCTAGTTGTTTTGTCTACAATTTCTTTTCGATTTCAGTATTTAGTCAAATTTGACTGTATCTCTTATGAAATATATGATGATTAAGCATATCTTATTACACTTTACTAGATATATTTCAGATCAGATTCTTGAATTCACTTATCATAAAACATTTATATATCAGATCAGTTTGAAAAGTGTAGGTTTATGAATAAAAATGACAGGAAATATTTTCTATAAAGGTGAAGAATTACCTTGTCATTGATAATAAGTAGTTTCGTAGTGTTTATATTAATTGTGTTAAGTAAACATTTATCGGTTCCTAATTTTATTTATCCAGTAGACATATTCATGATCTTTGAGGTAGTTACTATTATAAATGATCAATCATTGACATTTGAATTATTTAAATTAAAAAAATTAAAACATTTTATATTATTCAAATACGTAGTTCATATGTGATATGAGAATTAGATTCGAATAACGCTGGTTTAAATATTTTATTGATCAGCACTTTAATTTCTTCACTTCTATGTTTGATAATTAAATGTTATAAGGCGGATATGATTAGTGAGATGTCGAAATGATTGAGTTGATTAAGTTTATCAAGAAAATTCTATTGTTTTCTGAATCAAAACCATCAGTGTAAACTTGAAAAGAAGCCGCTAGTATTATCGTACAATTAATGAAAAATTTGTTACTCAGCGTACGTCACTTCTTCAGAGAATAAATTACTTACTTTCTGAAGCCTGTTGTCACTCGACGTTCACCAACACTCCCCATCCAACTCTGTTCTGGGAAGTCTTTTCCAGTTCTTTTCAGTTTTCATTCATCCTTTTCATATTTGCTTCCGATTCCCGACGCAGTGTATTCTTCGGTCTTCCTCTTTTCCGTTTTCCTTCAGGATTCCAAATAACCACTCGCCTCGTGATGTAGTTTGCAGATTTCCGTAATGTATGTCCTATCTAATTCCAACGTCTTTACCTGATTCCCTCCTTATCTGGAAGCTGGTTTGTTCTCTGCCACAGAAGGCTGTTGCTGATGGTATCCGGCCAACGGCTATTGAGTATCTTGCGTAAACAAGTATTTATAAATACTTTAACGTTCTTGATGATGATCTTAGTAGTTCTCCACGTTCCAGCTCTGTATAGGAGAACTGCCTTGAGAGTGGTATCGAAGATTGTGAATTTGGTATTGTTTGAGAGTTGTTTTGAGTTCCATATGTTCTTGAGGTGCAGTAATGCTGTCCTTTATTTCAATTCTCGCCTTTAATCTGCATCCGATCCTCCATGTTCATCTATGATGCTATCCAGATACGTGAATGTTTCCATCTCTTTCAGAGTTTCTCCATCAAGTGTGTCAGAGAATAAATAACCAGATTAAATACTATGTAAACTTGGGTTAATTTAATTTGGTCATTCATTCACTGAAGAAGTGGTTTATATGGAGTCAAGAGCTGTCGGAAAATCTAATTCTTCTACTCGTTAGGATATTACATATGTATTATTTTTTTATTTAAAACGTTCATTTACCGTTTCATAGTTTATTTAGATTGACTTCATCCTAGACAATATATCTGAGCCAGTCTTTCTTTACCGTTTTTCTTTGTCAACTGCTATATTAAATGTATTATAATATGCCAATTATTTTGCATTAAACCAGATAGTTGGTTAGAGTTTTTACCTTTTTACTTCCCTGCTTAGAGTGATTACAAAGAGTCTCTGATCACTGCATCTGTCAGAAATAATTACCGTTTAGGCTTTATGACGCATGAATACCTTACAAGAATGATAAGTTTACTTTTGAAAATGCTGAATTATAATCAGCATTTGTTTAGAAACCTAGACCAATAAATGTCACTTATAAATAAACTTACCTAAAAAGTAAACAAAATCGTTTTCTCGAAAATGTGGAGAATAAGGAATTTCTGAAAACTGTGCTACTTTTAAAATGAACTCTGTGTTTTTGGGGCTTTGACTACAATCCAATAGCTTCACAGTTTGAGACGAGCTAGGTGCACCACAATCATCGTACGTTTCTTTGCTCATTGTCTACAATATAAGATGAAAAATATAATACACATTATTCAGAATAATAAAACTAATGTGAATGATCCTACAAAATATAAGCCAGAATATTAAAATTATCCATTCACATTGAAAATATAGTTATTTTTGACCGGATGACTTCCGTTTAATTATTGAATCTTTAATAAACAGTCAATAATATTTGTTTTAAATGATTTAGTTCTAAAATACGTTTTTTTTAATGAAAAAGCAACATGCCAAGCAATCTGAAAGTGAATAGGAAATAACATAATACGGTAATAAAACACTTAAAGGTATCATCAAATAATGGATATCAACTGCCTTAGTCGTTATTTACATGAACAGAATTATTCTATTTGTTGCCTGTTTAAGATCCATTTAGAATGTTTTGTGTGTTTGTGAAAATCCCTCCATGTATATACTAGCACTTTATTCCTATTGATCCCCTTAGTTGTACATTGCTGTCTTTTGATTACATTTAAATTGTTAATATTTGTATTTTTTATTATAGTTTTTTGTTTTTCTTACGCCTTCACTAAGTTTTGTGTTTCTTCCCGAATTGCATCTATGTTGTTTTACATGACACTTGTTCTTGGCGGCAGCCAAATCGATTTGCTCCTCCTTTTGTGAGTGTTCTATCCAGTCAGGATAGAATAGCGTTCATTTGTTGTGACTGGTAATGTTCCCGCATCTTTTATCAACTTTATTTATTGTAATTTAGATTGATTGAACAATTAGTGGTTGAATAGCCGGGTGGTAATATTTATTTAGGTAACGATTTACATTTAAATTTATGATGAATTATAAAACCGCTATTTACCCGATTACTTGTTTTGATTTTGACGGGCAAGGGCGCGTGCCTAACGTACTTGGACGGCTATTCATCTGTCCGAACCGTAGTTCGGATTCTACAGCCTGGTTGAAATTTTCTTCATATTATTTGGGAGTATATGTTACACATATTGATCTTATACCTAATACATCACTTTAAATCAATATTGACATGATATGATGAATGAACTGAGAATATATTTTAAAATCAAATTTTACCGTCTATCTAATGGAAGAGAAGTAATTTAAGAGATGAATATAAATCATCACTGAAAACTATCATTTTCAAAACTAACAAGCTTTCATCTAGTACCATCCCATTGAAACAAATATAAAGTTTTGGATAAAGCTTATTCGTTACTTCATCGATGGTTTTGAAGTTTGTAAAATGTCCTAATTCGTCACATCCTATGAGTTTGTTATAACAGAACGAATGGATAAAAAGAACGAGTCCCATAGGAAATATCAGTTCCTTCCAACTTGCATAGACTCTTTGATGACGAGTGCTAACTGGCATAAAACGAATGTCCAGGATTAATTACTTAGAACCTCCTAACATCTTAACACATTTCACATAATTCCATGTCATATAGACAACTGATCATACATCAACATGATAGATGGAAGTCCATCGGCATCAAAGTACTGTAGAACTATGACACTATTGAACTTCTCAATGACTAGTCAACTATAAAAATGAAGTCTATCTATTTGTATCATAGACTTAGTTTATTAAAATAACATTTCCTTTTATATCAATAAACTTATTTTACTCAATATTTTTGATTATCATTGATATTATTGAACATTCAGACATTTGAGCAAGAAAGTAAAATATGATGTAAAGCTATCAGCTTTTATTCAAAAGCTCTAAAAATACGTGTAAAAATATTATAATTTAGGGTGTGTTTCATATTGAGTTTATTATGACAGTTCTATCATCCTGTGAGGGGGAAAAAAGAAGGAATTTTACTTGTATCAAGAATTTCTTATAAAAAGAAAGAGAAATAAGTGATGTTCAAATTTACAGTTTATTTGAGTAAATTTAAAGTAACTTAATTTATCTATGCTGAAATGATTTAAATACAAACTAATACAAACAGAGAGACTGAATGTACATGATTAAATATATAAAATGTATAATTAGCATACAAACGGATTTCACTCACTACATACATAAATCATTACTGCATTGTGATTTATCATGGAACAAAAGTATTTTATCTTTAGAGAACACCATCTTTTAAACTACAGTCATAATTAAACACATCTAATCTATGCGACATTTTAACTTCTACAAATATATTTACCTTAATGTACCCAAAACAAAGGAGTATTTATTATCTTTGCTAAAGACAAATGCATGATTTAAGTAATCAGTATATTTGATTTATCTGTAACCTTAAAAACATATAACATATTAATATATTCAAAATTTAGGTAGCTATTAAGGTTATAGTAGACATCAATTCAATGAATTGTCTGTACATGATTATTGTTTGATATGAAAGTAAAATATTAAGTTACAAAACAATGAAAATCGAAATATTTCGTGGTCATTCAAATGTAAATTTTAACTTACCCAAAATAATTTTTGACTTCTTCTCACATCATTAGGACATATGAAAACTATATTGTCGCCTTCTTTTACTTTGAACATTGTTACGTTTGATGAAAATCTATGGACACAAATAATCAAAATCTATTCTATTAAACAATATTCTTGTCTATATTTTTTTTTAAAATTACAGTGATATACGAAAATTGTTGATTGAATGATTTCAAGAATTAACCATCCATAAATAACTTAGATTTCATACAATCTACTGACAGTTTTATTAAATTAAAACAATGATGGACAGTGGCCGGCAGTGGAATCCAGGACGCGCGTTTCGTCCTATTTGGGACTCGTCAGCTGGATGTGCCTGCATCTCAGAGTTGATATGCACTCTGGGACTCGAACAATACCAAGTGAATTTAAAGTGATGAAAGCTATTTATCTTACATAGAATTTTCCAAGTATTGGTAAGATTTATCAAACTGTCAGTCTACTTATTCCATATTTTGTATATACTCTGCTTCTTTATGATTTGATGTTTATAAAATAATCATTTGCGATTGTGTATACCTGAGACATTTTAATCAGCCCAAAACCATTGGGACTTTAATAGTTTTACAGAGCTGATAAAGTGTTGGGAAATATTCTACTTTTCTCTACAAATCAACATAGTTAAATAGAGCAAGAACAAAGATTGGTGCAGAATAATATGAATTCATTTTATTTCGTTAGGTTCTCATCAGCTGCTTACATCCTAAATTATTTGAAATTCAAATTATTACAGATATTGACATATTTATACATAAGAGTGTGAATAAGGATCAATACATGTGTATGATGATGTAGAAAATATTCAGATAGAGTTAATGAGCTCATAAAATGTTTGATTCGAATAAATAAATAAAGTTAGAGAGGGAAAGTTCTGGAACATTGAAATAGTGATTAGAACTCATGAAAATAGATTAATAGTAATAAAGAAAATATGAATTAAAACCAATCATTTATGTATGATGTAATTTAAACTTCAGAAAGAGTTGGAAGATGGGGAATGACGTAATAAATAAATAAATAGGAGTAAATGAATAGAAAGGGTGGGGATTATTGTTACCAGGGTAAAGAAAGATTTATTACTGTCTCTTTTTGTATGCATAGATCTGGTTTTAAACGTTTGATTGCTATCGCTTCAGCGAATTTCAAAAGGTTAGAGTTTGATTGTTTGTTGATCACCTTGAAGGACTTCAGTATATCAACTTCATGTCCTGTATCAAGGAGATGTCTTGCGATAGCACTGCTCAATGCGTTTAATCCATTTAACCGTAAACTTTTCGGAATATGTTCTTTGAATCGGACGTAGGCTCTCCTTTCTGTTCTACCAATGTAACTGCTTTGGCAGGTACATGTAAATTTGTATACACAATTGGTGGTAACATGAAAGGGATACCTGTCGACCTTTGATTGTGTCAAAGAACATGTTGTTTTAGACAGGACAATCAATTTTGCTGCAGGATAAGTTCTCGTCAGTGCAGTTTTTAGTCTCATATTGATTAATCCTGTGATGTCGTCACCTTTGAATTGAAGTTGAATAAAAATAGGCTTTTTATTTGCTGTAATTTCTTTCGGTTTTTTATCTTCACATTTGCCGTATTTTTCAATAAATTTCAGTGGGTATCCATTATTCTTTAAACATTTTTTAACATTCATAACTTCCTCTTCTAGTGTATCGGAAGTACAAATTCTTTCTGTTCTGTGAAACAATGTTTTGACCAGTGCTTTTTTGTAACTGATTGGACAAAAGCTATTGAAATTAAGATAACTACCATTCCATGTGTCTTTCTTATAAACTGAACGTTGAATCGTACCATCTTTTCTTCTTTTCATCGCGATATCGAGAAAATGGAACTTGTTTTCTTTTTCATGTTCCATAGTGAAATGGATATTCGGATGTGCTTTGTTGAAAAACTCTAGCAGATTTATTGCATGTTGTTTATTATTACATACGATGAAGGTATCATCAACATACCTCGAATAATACGTCATTTCATCAATCGCTCGTTTGAGTTTGGTTTTTTCGAGGTTAGCCATGAAAATATCTGCTAGGACAGGACCTAACGGACTTCCCATCGCTACACCGTCAGTTTGTTTGTATTTGATATCGTTGAACTGGAACTGAACATCTTTTGTACAAATGAGTAATAGTCGTTTGAATTCTGGTACTGGTAGAGGTAGGATGTCAGAATGTTGACAAATTATGTCTATGGTTTCAAGAAGTGGTATTTTTGTAAACAAAGATGTTACATCAAAAGAAACCATAAACTTACCAGCAATATTTATGTGATTCATGCTGTCAGCAAATACAAATGAATCCTTTAGTGTATAGGTGGCTAATCGTTGACGCACTGGTTCTAACTTATCTGCCAACCATCGTGCAACTTTGTGGTATGGTGAATTGATCATTGACAAAATAGGTCTAAGAGGATAACCTTGTTTATGTATTTTCGGTAATCCATACATGTGGGGCAAACGAGACCCACGAGGTCGTAGATTATTGTAAGTATTGTTATCGATCATCAAATAATCGTATATATATATATATATATATATATATATATATATATATATATATATATATATATATATATATATATATATATATATATATATATATATATATATATATATATATGAAAAAATGAAACGATTAAGCAATTTTCAATGTTTATATTTTACGGAATCTCAACTTCTTTAAGCAGAGTAAACCATAGGGAAACAGTTGTGAAATAGTATCTGCGTTTTAGGCACAAGTTTATGATAAAGATGCTAGATATCTTACTAGTTGAAATCACGTTATATATTGCTATTTGCGTTGAAATTAGTCACGTATATTGTCGAAATGACTTTACTATCACTTATGAAAACAATCTCAAAAATCTTGAATAAAACAATTATAAAATGAAACTTTTAAGAAGTACTTTTGGTGAATAAGTTCCTATGATAAATAATTTTTATCAGAAAGGGTTTGTGGAGATTTTATAAATTTCACTGATTGAAATCATGAGTTAATTGAGCTATCACCATGAGCTATACCACCATGAAAAAGCTGGAAGCAATGGACGGCCGTTTTGTTCTAGTATAGGACTCTTTAGAAGTGCACATCTACGATCCGGCACCCCACAAGATTCGAACCCAGGACCTATCAGTCTCGCGCCAAGCGCTTAACCAGCTAGACCGCTGAGCTGAGGAGTCCGATACTAGGACGAAGTGGCCGTCCAGTGCTTCCAGGTTTTCCATGGTGGTCTAGCTTCAATTAACCCATGATTTCAATGTGTGAGGTAATTTTTGTAAACAACTCAAAATGAAGTTGTATTCAAACAAAAGACAGTTGTTAGTTTACTTCTTCCATTATAAATTCATAGTTTTGATTAAAATTTTATCCAACTGATATCATTAATATTGTTTAAAGTTTGTTATGAAATCTTCGCTATGCTATTTATTTCAGCAACTTCAAAATTATCTTTCCGTGAACCAATTTCATTGATTCTTAGACATGTGTAAACTCTTTGAATCCTCTCTAATCATTGCATAATAAATATTATCAGTTATAAGCAGCTGATGAAGAACCACGATATTAAAGTGAATTCAAATTATGCTGCCTAAAATGCTGTTTTGATTCATTCAAATTTCTAAACTATCAATCTAGTTCATTTCAACACAGATATACTTCTTTAAATGATATCAATAATTTATTTACAGTCAATTATTATCAGCTTCGTATCTAGCAGAAAACACTTTATTTATTCTCTGAAGAAGTGACTAACACTAAGTCACGAAACGTCAGAAAATCTAATTTTCTACTCATTAGGATATTACAAATATATTATTTTTATTTACTTTACATCTTAGTTTGCACAACCAAATTACCTTATACTAAGAATAATTGTTATATGTCACATTCATTTATATAAAAAAACTAGTCAACTTCATGTTGAGATTTGGATGATTGTTTAGGCTAGTTGGAATAGTCGTCTATAATAAGGATTCAAAAATTACGTGTAAGACGTGTTAACATTCGTAACTCTGTGGAAAGTGTAAATTTTTCTATTTCATTTGATACTTAGTACCAAGCTGTGCCAAGAAAGTAAACTTAGTTGACCCATAGAATCTAATATTTATTTACACTATAAAATTTGAAGATTTAGCAATAATTGATTTTGGCTAATGGTATTGAATTTAATTAATCACATAGTTCTGGTAATCTTCATCTTATGATTATATATACTATGCAAATTTATCAAAAGAACTAATTGCATTAAATTTCTCAAAAGAAAACTCCCTACACCCATTATTAAAAGGATAAATGAACTTGTTAACTTGAAGTGAAAAATTTTAATCGAAACAAGTGAAACTGAATTTTTATAAATCTTGTTTATGGAGTCATATAATCCCAAATCAATTATAATAGAATTTACGTTCAAGTAAATTACAACCGATTATCTCAACTGTTATTCAACTGATGAAATCGAATATAAATTATTGCTAAGACACAATGATCAATTTAATTGAATTACACATTCAAGTATTGACTATATTAAAAGAAATATATATAGTCTGTTATATTCAACTAATCAATTTTGCAGTACTGTCATTTCAAAAACAAAAGAAGAAATCGTTCCCAGTACGTCACTAATGAAAAGTAGACACTTTTACTTAGTTTCAATTTTCCCATCCCTGTAGTGCAAATATTTATATTGGAGGTGAATGCCAAATTTGCAGATCTCTATAATCACTTGAGTGCGCTAATCCCTATGGCATTAGATAATCAAAGTTGGTGTAAAGCTAAACTGTTGAATATAAAGCACTAATTTTATAATCACGAACCAAAGCAGAGAAGCATATTGACTTCCCAAATTTTTAGATTGCTTAGGGAGCAACGTACAAACCTTGATATTTTTTTGTTGAAGCGTGATAAAGGATCAAATATTATCATGAACAAACGTGAATATAAAAGTGAGATATTATAGATACTCAGTGATTAAAGTAAATTTATGTCTGATGTTATTATTTCGTACTGACAAAGTTTAGTTCACACTTGAAGTTGAATGCTTTCGCCAGATTGTCAGGGTT